AAACGTTGAAACGTATTCTGCGAAACGGTTATGCAGGACCGTACGATACGGATATCGGTTTCTATTAGGAGCAAATGCCAAAACCGATATTCGTTTAGTAAGCTACGGATTTTTTTTAGAGAGTAGTGCATCACCTTTGACTACGAAACCAAAAGAGATTAACGGCTTGTGCACGTAACTCCAGACTTCGCTGATCATGTTTCTGAAAAAATTATTTTAGAGTAGAACTGAGAGGAGCATATCAGTAGATGCAGTTTTGGGCTCGGATTACGAATCTCACATTAGTTTTTTAAAAAAGCTAAATTTTTACATCAAAAATCCAGTTTTACATTTTTTTTAAAAAACTGTATTTTCAATTTTCTCACCTAGACCTTCTTCCTATCCTAATAAAAATAGAAGACCATACTAATCGATAGAGAATTCGATTCTCTACAAGATGATATGTTTCTTTTGAAGTTTAGGCTATAAACAAGCTTTTTAATAAAGTTTTAAGATACTCACACAATTCAAAGAAAATGAAAAAATTTTTTCAGCTTTATTTTCGTGTTAGTCTTTATTAGATGCCTAAAACTAAGATTGTTATGAAAATGAAGTCCTTTGAGCAATGTTTAGTGCTCCAAACTTTGTTGAGAAAAACGAGTGTTACAGCGTCACGAAAAATGTCACAGCGTCATGACGATAAAACACAATTATTGAGGGATCGAAAGCTCTTTAGAAAGATTCTTTTTTAACAATCAGTAGCTCGTTTACTCCTCTACAAACTTTGCTCGAGATACTTTTTATTAGCTCTTCTACATTCGCAGCAAATTAACTTTTAATGAACAGCACTTCGAATTTAGGGCCTTTTTTAGTTACAGCGTCACCAGCCAAAAAACGGTTCTAAAAATTCGAGTCTTTAACCACATATCTTCATTTTTATACCAAAAGTAGAGTATGGCGAGCTGCGTCGAATAACCCAAGAACTAAGCTCTAGCTCTTACACTTTTGAGAAAAGCTCCAATTTCTGTGTTAAAAATGTCACTTGGACAAGCCGTTAAGCTTAACCCTTTTCAGCCAACTCCTAGAAAGCATAGAGCAAAAAATTCTTTTCCTCCATATTTATTATGTAGGTATGATGGTAAATAAGAAACATTGTTGCTTTGGTTCCATATACCTTGGTGATAAAGAATTTTTCGATGTTGCCATTTGGCAACATCCGGCCACAAGGGGTAAAAATGGTGTGGAGTTCATTTTTCTGTCTTCATGAAATAAATGTATCACTTTCCGCTATGCTCATTTGTTTATAAAGCGTAAACAAGAAAAAGCCTACAAGTATGTATAAGTGCTGCAGATAATGACTTGGAAAATAGAGAAAGCTAAGATGTGAAACGTTGTCAAAAAACGAAAATTTATCGATTGTGATAGGATGTCAAGCAATTGTTTTTATCATTCATACAAAGACGTACTTTGCATTTTGAGCATGTTATTCTGGTATATCCAGAGCAACCTTGATTTATGGCAACAGCCTTTTTCCGTATGAATAGGCCAATGATCATACTTGTCGAAACGAGAATTTGTTGATGGAGCTGGACCAGGTGCAGTTCTAGGTGGAATTGGTGCAAGATTCTTTATCTATTGAATGTAATGATGGACGGCCACGTTTCTGTGATGAGAGAGGCTGTGGGTTCGATTTCAGTAAATCTCCAGCTATTCACTCAACACACCCCCTTCTAAAAGTCAACACTACATCGACTACTAATGAGTACACATTTTCTTTCCCATCAGTATATCACATTATCCAAATAGAATTCCTTCGAATTACATTCCAGCCCATCTGACGAGTCCCTTGAGAAAGAATGAGATCTAGATCATGGCTTCTCAGACTCACCCTCATCCTCACACCCGCTGAAGAGATCCTTGAGCCAGATCGAAACGCGTCATGGCTGCTTGACTCACCGCTGTGTGAACTGCATTTAACGTTGCACAGCGAGATTTCCTTGCAAGTGATTAAGTGATTGTTTCTGGTACAAATTCTTATTTGTGATAAATAAGATCATTTGAATAGAGTCTTGTATTAGATTGAATTGAAGCCATCTGGAGAGATCCTTAAGCAAGATCGAAACGCGTCATGGCTGCTTGACTCACCCCGAAATTTTCTCCTACTACCTATCATTATGATCGTTAAGATATTATATTCAGATCAATTTATTTTGAAAGAAAGAAAGTCTAATTGATTAGAATTTCATCAGCGAAAGTTTCTGAACATGCGTTATTTATATATTATAGTACGATATAGTCTAGATTAATATCCCAGATCAAGTTAAGATGTCATGAATCCCTGACAATATTTAATGTTTTAAATTCCGAACCAAACGATATAAATGGTCCCCAAGAATCAGGACTTGTATAATCGTCCAGTTTTTTCAAGTCACGAATTGTGCGAGTGAATGAACATGAAATTGTTAGTCCTTTTTGAAGACATTTATAAAATCTATTTGCAAATTCGAGCGATACATTTGTGTCCAAATCCATCAATGTTGCTGCAACAGTAGAAACACCAGCTATTATAAATCCACGTGTCAAGCCAAGATGTCCACTTCTGGTAAGAGAACTACCTGAAATAATTAAACATTGAAAAACAAATCTGAAGTAAAGAAATATTTAAGCATCTCATAACGAATACGGATTGTTTTTCAATGCATTGTCGATTACACTAGCTTGAAAATAAACAGAAAGCCTCAAAAATTATATCGTGCGGATATTCTTTTGAAAACAATAGATGTATGTGAATTATACTCTTGATGTAAACTTCTATTCTCATTTCTATAGTTCAGTTATTACACTTCATCGTACAATTTCACCTAGGAACATAACATCGAAACAAAATTTTGTGAACAAAAAGTTCCAGTATACCTTTCAATGTACTACATGAATTTAAAACAGCCAAATGTATGTTTCTTAGATCATAGTTAGCTATCTGATTTGAGTAAAACTTAGTGTCGAGACAGTCATTGCCATTTTCATACTCTAAAATCACACAACCACTTAATGCATAATTGCTTTGTATTTGTTCCTCATCATAAAATGTATGACCGGCATAGTGAAATATGCATGATTTTGAATTAATTCTGTCTTTTAAGAAGCTTTCAACTTCTTCTTTAGTTGCTTTTGGATGCGCTGTAAATGGAAACTTCTCATCTTCAAGTTTTTTGATTATATCTATTAACGAATAGTCTAAACCCTATTTTTCTGCAAATTCCGGATGCACTGTTTCTGTTGTGAATACTTCTAATTTACATGATAGATTGGATTCCTTGTTTGGTGAATTCAACTTATAACTTTGATCAAAGCTAGCTGATAAAATAAATGAAATTTCAAATATATCTATCAGATATATTTCATCTTTGTCTGATGTTAATAGACTAGAAAAAGGTATATACAATAGTTCTTCTTCAGCAATTATTTTAATGCATTCAATTTGTTCTAAATGTACCATTATTGACTCGAAAAGTATCTTGAAAAATTCTCTTCGCAATGTCTTACATTTTTCTATTATTGCATTTTGATTCTCCATGTCTGATTCACAAATTGAATATTCGTTTTGCTCTTGATTGAATCCTTCAGCCATGAACGTTATATTCTCTAAAAATTCATTTACTTGAAGATTGTGTTTTTTCAAATCAATGAGTGTAAATTTGACATTGTGTCGACCTAAGATTACATAACAATAAATTGTACCAGCTGTTTTCAAAGTACAGGATGAATACTAAATGTAACAATGTTCTCGTGGTATGATTAAATCTTTTTCACTCAATTGCTTTGTTTGTTGTTGTCCTAATACTTTTCGATAAAAGTCATTGTTTGAAACGATTTTCAAATTGAAAATACTATGATCTTTAAGCAACAATTCAACAGGTGCAAGGAAATCTTTGTATATTACTGGATATTCATTTTTAATTTGATCTATATTTTGTTCAAATGTATGTTCTTTGCCCACATCTTTGAATACTGAAGCGAGCCTTGTCAATACGTTATCTTCATCAAGAACCAAGTCAGTACGTACGAGATCGGAAAATCCAGATGCTAAAATCAAACAATCCATTTTGCCTTTGCTATAAAAACCATTAATTTTGAATGTTAAATATGCACAGTTTTCTGGTATTTTTACCGTTTTAATTTGTAATTCAAACCAATTAGCTAAAATCATTTCTTCAGTCACATAGCCACGCATGATTCTCCAATCTGCTGTCCGAAAAGCTTCACGTATTAACTTTTCAGATAATTCATTATCTTGTAAATTAAGATGCTTGTGTTGTAATTGGTTTGCAAAATTGATGCATAATACTTCATACTCATCATACCATGCGGCGATCGTTGTTTTATATTGGAAGACCGAAGCTATCCCAGATGAATAATCATTCTTAAACAATGTTTCAGTAAGTAACTTATCATTCTTTTCACGATATTCAACAAAATTATCATAATCATATTCATAAAGATGTGCCTTTGCTCTTAATAAATAATAATCACAAATTTGAAGTACATTGTCATAATTAAGTATAGCATAATCAATTACAGCTAGGCACGATATAAATTCATGCATCTTATTTTCACTGAATTTTAGTTTTGCAATTTGTAACCAAAATTGCGTTTTAAACATCGGATTACCAATGTATACTAATTCAGAAAGTTGTTTATAAGCCATTGTGTTCTGGTTTTGCTGAATGTATTCTTCTACAATTAAAGTCTGAATATCAAAACCTAACTCCTTTATATTGTCTTTATTCTTGTCTGTTTCCAACTTTGTTTGACTAATTTCCATTGTTTCTTTTAGTAAATCAATAATGAAGATAGATTGTTCTGTATTATCTCTGTGTTTACTACAGTCAATAGAATTACCACTTTCTTCGAGTCGAATTAGCTTTAAGCAGAAGCATTTTTCCAATAAAAATAATAAACGCTGAGGAGTTGTGGAATCATTTAAAAACTGTTCGTTCATAGATTCTAAAATTTTGAGTGCTTTTCTATATTTTAGTACACGACGTAGTATTATGACGTGAAATAAAATCTCAGTTAATTTCATTTCATTAGGAAGTTTATTTATTTTGTTCTCATCATATATAATGTTTTCTCTTGAGAGCATTTTTTCTGTTCGACTAAATGCTCCGAAATTTGTTGCTTCCATAACATTTATCAGTGTTCCACTTTTAAGATCATCGTCAAATACCATTTCCATAAGCAACGACAGGCCTTCTGGTAAAAATGGGTACATCAGGTCAGGTGGTACATTGGAAGTGATATATTCCGGACGCCATAACGTTGATAGTAATCTATGTGCCGTCACATCTGCATATTCTGCTGTACCAATTTCAAATTGTGTAACCTAGAAAAGATATATATTACAAGATTCTATCAATACGCTCTTATATATTGTTTAAAGACTGACAAAGAACGAGAAAATTCTCATTCATTACAACAGAATTTTCAGATAACGTTACGTGCGTGTGATTTAACTTTTTCACTAAAGGATATAACTGTCGAGAGAGAGAAGATGATTTATACATACTTGTTTCTTACAACGATTAATACTTTCTAAAGCACTTTCATTTGTTGCTGTGATGTCCAAAACTGCTTGAAAATTTTGTAGTGCGTGGTCGATATGCATCAAATGTCGATTTGCTTCACCTCGACGGTAGAAACATTTTTCACGAATGTCTTTATTTTCACTTAGTATCGATACGTCATGACAAAAACTGATACATGCAACGTAACGTTGGAGCTTTAAGTAACAATACGCCAAGTTTACGTATAGAATTGCGTTTAAATCATCACGTTTTTTCTCATTTATCACATGTTGTAAATTTTGGACGGCTTTATCGTACTGATCTACCGCCTCGTCATATTTTTTAACCTAAACAAAAAAAGAGATGAAAAACTATGTCTCCAGAGATAAATATCCGGTCAGAAATTGAAAAATTTCATGATTTCAAAATCAAGACCAAAAGATTTTACCACTTTCTTCAATACTGGTGCTCTTACTCTCAATATTATTTCGCAATCATATTCTAAGAGGACTAAACTAACGTGTTTTCTGTCCACCTCAATACATGAGTTAATAGTTACTTTTACAAAATTGTTTCCACTTTCTTTGAGCTTTGAAATTGTGTTAATTATGTCTTGTTCATTTATTGCCGCTGTTGAGCTCATTGGCGATTCTGAAATATGAACGATATTTGTCGCTTCATCTTTCCAAACTGCGATTAGTCTTGCGCACCAATCTTGTGCAAAAGTAACGATGCCTTCGTAAGACATCGTATATTAATATCAGAAGTTAAGTCAAAAGCATAAAAATATTTTCGATACAACAAATCTG